TTTTCATTCGTTCTAGTACATTCCCTCATCTTACGGATGAGGAAACTGAGGCCCAGAAGTTTAAAATGCAAATCCCTGGAAGAGTAAATGAAATAAAATCATAGAATCTTAGTAATGGCTCTTTGGATAGAAAGGAGAGACTGGGAATACTAAAGTTGTTCTGGCTCCAGGGAGTTGAGTGCTCAAAGCTCCTTCTAGGTCAGCAGGGGTTTAGCAGCTGTGAACAGGAGCTTAATTCCTCGCTAGGTCACAGGAGGTAATCACCTTCTCTATGGATCACTGACTACACTGTCCCTCCACCAAACAGCCTCCTCTCCCACCTCCCTCTCTTTGTTCTTTTGCTCATGGTGGATGTTTCCTTTGATATGAATGCTCCCTCTTTCCCTTACCTATCCACTTCCTATGCCCATCCTTCAAGGCTCAGCTCACATCCCTCTTTCTCCATGTAGCCTTCCTCCCTTAATCTCCCTAATCTTCACTGGTTCATCCCTTCTCTGAAATCTTATAACCTTTTTTTTTTAATCTATACCACACAGTCTAGCATGAAAGGCAGCAGGATATGCTCCCCCACTTACTAGATGTTTGGTACAATATCTCTGAGCTTCAGCTTTTTCATTTGTAAAATGGGTACAATAGCATTTGCATTACTTACCTCACAGGGTTTTGGGGAGTTGAGTGCTTTGTAAAGAGCTACATAAGTGTAAGCTATTATTATGCTGTCTCATTCAGTAATGCCTTCCTTTGTATATTTTCTTCCCAACTAGATCACACATTCCTTTTGGGTAGAGGCCATGGCTTATACTCCTCTGATACCTATGAAGAAATTGTTGTATATCTGTTGGATGCTGTTTTCTGTTCTGTCTCAAAGGGCTGACCTCAAAAGCCCAAACCTATAAGGCAGCACTTCCCAAACTAGGTTCCATGCAACCTTCATGCTCTGTGAGAAAATTTCAATGCTGGCAATATTTTTCCCATTAAAATATCTGGAGAAAGGAAAGAGACAAAGACAGTGAGAAAAAGAGATAGACACAAAGACAGAAAGACAGAGACAGAGAGATACAGAAACCGACAGACACTAGGAGTTGATAAGTTACTGGAGAATGTGAGACAAAGCTCATGGTGTTGCTCAAAATTTTTCAGTCAGGAGAGCTCTTGTTATTTTGCATAGAAGAGAGGGGCTGTTTTGGTAAGATTAAGACAGTTCTTTTATCACAGTGTCTCTCCATCCCTTTTCAGTATGAGGAAGAACTCTGGGTAGATTTAACTGAGCCACAATGTATGATAAGACCTAATACTTAAAAGTGGTTTCTGACCATAAGTTAGGGGACAGCTGAACTGCGAGAGTCAGGGAAGATAAGTTAGCATTCACTTCAGTACATTTCAGGTCAGAGAAGAGTTCAAAAGAAGGGAAGCAGTTAACAAAAGAGTTCGAAAGTGAATTCAAAGGGCAGAACTGGTTTCAGCCTCTCTACCACCCGGTGCATGCGAAAAAAATTCACATCTATTAACAGAGAAGAATGAAGGAAGATTCATGGACATTGGTCTCAGTTTAGCTGAGAAGCTAAGAAGAGCTGAAGAAAACTTGGTAACTATTGACTGAGAATGTCAAGGAGGGACAGCTACAGACTTACCTGCAAGGGAAAGGCTTACTAACCACAGCATCTCCAGTAGATAGATGTAGGACAGAGGTGCATCTTAGCTAAAGATTACAGAGGAGTCTGAAATGGCTGAATGAAAAAGCTATAACCTCTTTTCTTCAAGGGACAGGCTTATTAAAGATAATAGCATTTCCCTCCACTCCCCAGTGGATAGTGGAGGTGGCTAAAAGAAATGGTGAAGGAGTATTAAGTGACCCCGGAAATATTCAAAGCTGACAAACAACTGAAATGGAGAGAGAGTAGCACTTTCCAGGGAGCCTTAGAGAGCAACACCTGGTGGGAACAAGGTCAGCAGAGAGCATCACAATGACATCAGCAGTTTTGTGTCATTTGCCCCACCATGTGTACATCCTGGCCTCATGTCCATGTGCATTTCTTCATGTGTGGATGCCCACATGTTCCCTATGAGTGGCTATCCCATACATAATTCCTTTAAAGATTAATTCTTTGTGTATGGATTTGTAGGAGAGTAATTTCATAGGAAGTGGCAAATTTTTATCATTTTATTTACACTGCTATTTAACAACTCACTTCAGATAGGTACATATAAATACACAAAGTATGGGTAACAAGCAAGGTGATTTCATGTGCCCAGAGAATTCATTGATCAAATTATGTTTTTAAAAAGCATGTGCAGAAGATAGAAGGAAGGGGGAGACAAGTGAAGATGAATATAAAAGAACAGTATAAGAATATTCTGTGTTAGAATAGTGTTGAGGCACTAAGGCTCCAAATAAGCTAAATCACATGAAGGATGTTAAAAACAAAAACAAAAGGCTTTTTAAAGCTTTACTGGGGTCGGGGGGGGGGGAGGATTAAAAAAAGAGAAAGAGCTTCTGCTAAAGGTGGATGGCATGATTATAACCAAGAGTGGAGAGAAGACAGAATTACTCATCTTTTATTTTACTTCTATTTTCTCTGCCAGAGAGGGTGAACTCTGGATTGCATTGGCCAAGAACGTCCAATTCTAAATTGAAACTCAAGAGAAATACAGAGATAAGGTTGAACAACCACTTTTTGTCACACGTTGTCGGAGAATTCCTGCTCTGGTATAGGTAGGACTCGATGACCTCTGAGAGTCTGTAATACTGTGATAGCTTTAGACCAGAGAGAGAGAACACTTAGCTGTCCTTGATAAGTTCCCAAGTCACCAAGCTAAGGTTACCGACCTGGGACATATGATGGCTAAGCAACTAGTTCTGTTAGAATGTGAGAGGGTCTAAAAGACTGGAGGTGAGTAAACACCCCAACAAAAAACAAAAAACAGACAAACAAACAAAAAAAGAGTAAAGTCTGAAAACTATGAGCCTATAGTTGGGTTGCTGGTGAAATCTTAGAATATACCATTGAAATATAACAATGAATTATTACAGTGGAAGGGATGAGCTGGACCCGCAGAGCTCCTAGCACCCTCAGAGATTAAATAACCTCTGCAGTCATAACAACCTTAATCTCATCTTGTTCTAGTCAATTCCCAGACTTGGTGGGAAACTTCAGAGGTTAACTCCATAATAAACTCAAAATGGGTATTTATTTCAAAGTTACAAAATTATGAAAGTCACTCAAATCATATTCCTAACATCATGTCACTTTACAAAAATCAAAACAGTCTAATCTCCTTCATTTTATAGTTGAAGAAACTGAGTCTGTAGAGACTATATAGACTTAATCAAAGTCTAATAGGTAGTAAATAGCAGAACTGAGAATCAAATTCAGCTCCTTTCCCTCTGAATTCAGCACTCTTTCCATGGAAGTCTACTGCCTCCCTCCCAGCAGGTAGGTACTCAAGTTAGCTACTATATCACTGATTCGTTACTGTTTTTGTGTTCAGATTTTTGTTGTATATGCCTTCATTCATACCTTGCAAAGGATTCATTTATTCATTCATTCATCCATTCACTCATTCATTCATCCAGTCTTGCTCTAAGGCTCTCAGGTGAGGGAAGAGAAGCCTTTTAGTCAGTCCACAATTATTTACCCAGGGCCAACTGGCCATAGTCTTGTTACAGGATTAATCCTTGAGATAGATGCTAAAGACTAATGATAATGGCTCACATTTATTTAGTGACTTAATGTTTATAAAGCACTTTTATCACAATACCATCCCCATTTTACAGGTGAAGAAACTGAAGCTTGGAGAGGTGATTTTCTCATAGTCACACAGCCACAGTCCTTACCCTTAAGGAGTTCCTGGTCTTTCCTCATGTAGATTCTTTATGGGATACTGTCTGATCCACAATCCCCAACCCCCACCCCTATTTTGACAAACTGAAATCCTATCACATCTTTCAAGGCCTAATCATTCATTTATTCTTTCTTTCAATGAACTCACATTTATTGATTAAAAGTTATATGTCAAGTACTGTGGAAAAAACTAAGATAAATAGAACATGACCCTTGCCATTTAGAAAGTACTAGACCAGGGGTGGGGAACCTGTGGCCTCAGGCCACATGTGGACTTCTAGGTCCTCGGGTGTGGCCTTTTGACTGAGACCAAGTTTTACAGAACAAACCCTTTTATTAAGGGGATTTATTCTGTGAAGTTTGGATTCGGTCAAAAGGCCGCACTTGAGGACCTAGAATGCCATATGTGGCTTTGAGGCCACAGGTTCCCTGCCCATATACTAGGAGATAAGACACAAGAATACAATACAAGAAAGTATATGTTGGGTATCACATAAATGATACAACCAAATTTCCATGGGTATTCAGATATGAAATTTTTACTGTGTCATTTTAAGGAAAATACTTTGTTAACCTTAAGTCACAAAATAAATGCAAATTACTAAGATTATGCCCTGGTTGGGACTGGACAAAATATTTATGAACTTACTAAGGGGCTAATCTTACCTGAGAGATGTAGAGTAAGAGTGGGAGGCCCATTTTGTCCTTATGCGTCCAAAGCTTTGAAAAGTGTGGGTGTTCTAAATGGATGTTTTAATACAGCCCGGGCCTGGGTTGGATCAAGATAGCACATGGGGGGTGCGTGGAGTCAAGATGGCAGAGTAAAAGCAATGACTTGCTTGAGCGCTCCCCCAAACCACTCAAAATACCTATAAAAAATGGCTCTAAACCCTACCCTATCCCCACAACTCACTACCTCCCAGGGAGGATCAGGGTACGAACTTGGAGGTCAGACTGAAAGGCAGAGAGGGCACTGCTCCCCTAGTTATAAGTGTTCTTTGCTCACTCCTTCCCTTCTCCCTTCTCTCACTTTCCTTTTCATTCCCTTCCTTCCTTCCTTCCTTCCTTCCTTCCTTCCTTCCTTCCTTCCAGTGCATGGAGATTCAGAATATGTATCTTCCATTGAGGAAAGCCACCTTAGTCTTACTTCCTACTTACTGATGTGTCCTCTGAGCAAGATGCAATGATGTTGTCAATGAAGGGGTTCCATTTGATGTCTAGCACGTTGCCTTGGTGACCACAAACTTTGGGATAGTTGGGCTCAATTCGACCTGTCTGAAGGAGAGAATGGAAGAAGTAGCATTAGTTCTAAAGCCATCAGGGAATACATACCCTTAATGTTAGGACTCCACAGATCTGACAGTATCATTTTCTCCAACTAAACTATCAGTTCTTTGAAGGACTATGTCATAACTTTTTGCATCCTTCTAAGTTCCTAGCATAGGACCATAAACCAATTAGCCTATTATTATTATTTTAATAAAAATAATTATTAATAACACCATATAACAATTCAGTATAATGCCTGGTGCTTAATAAATGCTTATTGACTATGTGGCACCTTATGGTTACAAAGTAACACCAATATCTAATATCTCACTTGGACCATGTCTTACACTTTTTTTGTATCCTTCTAAGTGCCTAGCATAGGACCATGCACTTAGTAACAGATTATTAATAATAAATTATTTATCATTTGTAATAATTATCTTCTACTATTAATAATAGCACATTATAATAGCTTAGCACAAAGTACATAGTAGGCACTTAATAAATGCTTATTGACTATTTATATGGCACCTTATTGTTTTACAAAATAGCACTAACTACAAAGTTACAAAGGCACTATTATCTCACTTGGTCCTTACAACAACCCTGTGGTATGGATTATGCTCATATTATTATCTCTATTTTATGGATGAGGAAACTGAGCCTCAGAAGGTTGAAGTGACTTGCCTAAAGTCATAATACGAAGTGACAGGACCCAGGCCTTCTGAACCCAAGTCCAGTTTTCTTTCCACTAGACTATTTTGCCTCTCTAGGACAGTAGGCACTCAAACATCTTTTGATTTCCTATTTCAATGTTTCTCAAATTGTGTTTTCCAGAATCAGGATGTCTCACATGATGTGAATAAGGGTTTCATGTGACAATTTTGATTCTATCAGTGTTTCCCCATCCTTAAATACTAACCTGTATATTGTGTGACTATGGACCCATGTGGGCAGTGTAATCTACAGGTATAAATATCTAACATGATAGCCAAACCCCATTATTCTCTCTCTGGGTTGGCATGCACCCTAACTTGCCCTCACACTAATAGATTTGGGTTTTTTTTTTTGCTTGGGTTTGGGGGGTAGAGGGGGCAACATAACCATGACCATTCAGCTACTATTCTCTCAGGTTTCTAGGGGCAACTTTGGTATGCATGAGGGTATACTCAGACTATTTTCTACTTCCAGGCTCCTGAACCAGCAACATTGTGTTTCCCTTTTACACAAAATCAGTCACCATGACACCAATGACTCTTTAAACATGAAACATTTGCTTAGTAATAAGGCAAAACCAAGAATACTCAATAGAAGACTAAAATGAGAATAATCCACAACATCTGCTCAATAAAAAAAAAAGCAGTAGAAATCAAAATATATCTTCCCATAAATCTGGGTCACACTCATCCTACCAATACACACAATGCCTGTAGAAAAAGAGTGGGCCCACACTTACAGAAATCAAGAAGGAAGGAAAATAAGCAGTGAAACCCATATATATGAAATAACTCACAACTCTCCTGGGTCTCTTTAGAGAACAGTTAGCAACATCTCAGCTGCTGGGCAAAATTACTTCTCTGTTACCTGTTTCCCTTCTGGTCCTCACAGTTCTACTGCTAAACACAGCGATTTCTCTGATACTTATGGGACACTGAAGCAGTAGAAAAACTCTTTTAGTACAGAGCCACTCTTTGCAGGGTGCTAAGAAAGTGTTACTCTTTTTCAGTCATAAGTAATTCCATCAAGTGGAAGAACTGCCAACCTCCTCAGTTCTGTTCTGGTCTCTGAGGAGTTTCTCCCTCTCAAGCTGAGGCAGTTCTCTATCTGTTCCTCAGAACAGTCTATCTCTCTTCTATCTTTTGTCTGAGAGGCCATTTTTCTAAAGTTGATTTTTATCAGTTTTCCTTACATCAATGCTTTTTCAGCCTCTTTCAGAAATCAAAGTGTTTATATAAGAAAAGAGTAGTATCTTACATGTGTATTAAAGATGAATACTTTTGGGCAATTTTCCATATATACATATACATATATGTGTGTGCAAGCATTGCATGTATATATAATATATATTTCTATCTCTCCATATGTGTATGTATATATATATGTATATTATATATACACACATATATACACATATGTAGAGAAAGAGAGAGAGAGAAAGAGAGAGAGAGAGAGAGAGAGAGAGAGAGAGAGAGAGAAGTAGATCTATTTTTTTTTATTTTGGTCTGAAATTTCCCCAGGCTCATTCTTTATCCAGAACTATTCTATATCAAGAGGCCTCTCCAACTACCATTTATGCATCCATCATAACATTTTATACCCAAAAGTGTTCTGTGGCCCAAATAGTTTGGGAAATTCTTTTGTACCAAAACTATGCCAGAGAACCCATGCTACTGTCCCCACTAGTATTTGGAGATCGGAGTGGAGGAGGCCCATGTTCTGATTGGCTATCCCTCATGGACCATTCTGTGAAGCCTGTTATCATAGCTCACCTCAATCAGTCTCTTCGCTATGAACTTCTTCAAGTCAAATTGAGGAGTATTTAATTTTATGTCTCATTTTTTAAAAAGGCTACTCTCATTGAAGAGATTATGCTTAGGTATCATCAGTCAAATTTAAGGGATATTGGTTCTATCAAAAAGGTAGTAAGAATTTTAATAAGAACTCATCAAACAAATTTAAAATAGGTAGAGGCAGAGGTAGGGTAGGAAGGAGAGAAGCCTTAAACTGAATAAAATTCTGAAACATAAAGCAAACAGGGGGCCCCTCTTTATGCTTGGGTATTTCTGAAAATGTGTCTAAATTAAATTTTTGTCAATTGAATCACATTTTAAATATGCTAGGAAATCAACTCACTTAAGGAAACCAGAGACTGAATCCTAACCTTTCATAAAGTGATCATTCCCCCTGCCCCACACTCCCTCAATTCAAGTTCAAATTCTCAACGTAAGATATGAAAAAAAAAATTTTCCTCTTAAAAAACTTACTATATATTGTTTTAAAATTATCTTCATTTCCAAATATATCCCTCCACCATCCCCTCCCCAACGAGTCATCTAGTTCATCTAACCCTCTTATTTTACAGAAGAACCTAAGGTCCTCAGGTCACCTCAGAGAGGTTAAGTAACTTACTCAAAATCACACAGTAGTAAATGTCAGACCTAAGATATGAAACATTATTATAATGTGCACTCGAGAGTACATAGTTTTTCATTATGAAAAAGGGAAAAAAGAAAGAAAGAGAAAAATATCAGGTTAGCAGAAACTGAGCAATACATCTACTCAGTTTGGCAGCATATGCAATATTACACCACCACAGTCCCCACCTCTGCAAAGAAGGAAGGAAGCTGCATGTTCTCAAGTCCACTCCAGGGCCAAGTTTCTTGGTCATTATAATCACAGAGCATTCAGTTTCATTTTTTTGTTCTTTCCATTTAAAAAAATATGATTGATTTTTAACAAATGTACCAGAACTTGGTACTCAAATGATTGCTCTCCTTCATAATCCCTTTGGGAAGCTATCCCACACTCAGTCCAATGATATGGCTACGGATAAAATAACAACAACAACAACACAATCATCATCATCATCATCATCATCATTATCATCATCTAGAACTCCTCCTTGGGAATAGACTACATTACTCAAGGACAATTCTTTTGAATGTATCCTCAATGGTGAGGGATCTTTGCCTTTTAATGGTGGATTTGATTTTTTTTTAATAGCTCCGTCATTGGAACCCAGTCTTGAATAACTCCAGCAATCAACCTGGGGAAAATAATACCTGGTTCCTGGGGCAATGAAAAGAGTACTAGATTTGGACTCAAGAGGACTTAGGTTTAAATCCTGATTCTGTCACTTACTACCTGTGTGGCCTTGGGCAAGTCACTGAACTTATCTAAGCCTGTTTCTTCATCTGTGAAATGAGGAGGGCTGGGCTCAGTGACATGTAAGGTCCTTGGCAAATCCAAATCTATGATCTTAAAACACTGGGCTGGTTGTAAAGTACAAGACTAGTTTCCTTGAATGAGTTATAATTGGCCTGAACAGATAAAAATTTTCAAGAGTAGCGCCTAACATATTCTGGGCAATGATGGCATTCCTGGAAAACATATGTATTCTACCAGGGTGGGGTGGAGTCATTTAATGCCTGGGAGTGCTGGGGGCCCTGAAGATAGAGCCCAAAGGTCTCAAACATGACTGTATCATGCAGTATTCCCAGAACTAGATAAAATGTAATTGGTAAATATTTTTAAAAATAATAATAAAAATACAATATAACCTAGATAATGTTACTATGTTGTTTTCTAAGTTAATGTGTGGCCCATAGGAATCCTTGAACATGGTTTCTATTTCAGTTTGACACCACTGATATCTAATCCTCCCTGTACTATTTGAAGAAAAACACTCACTTGTACATACAAGAACTAGTATTTTCACCAAACAATTAGTCTTATCCCTCTTTATTTATATCCTAAGGGGCGGTCCCCATGGCACAGAAGGCAGTGATGGTGAGAGGAAGAGAATAATACTTTGGAGAAACATCTAAACCTGGAAAGCCTTTGAACAAATGTGAGTTGAGCCCATCCTACACTCAAAGTACCACAGGGTCATGGATCCAGAACTGGAAGGGATCTCAAAGGTCATTGGTTCCAAACTCCTCCCTTCATTTTACAGATGGAGAAACTGAGCCTCAGAGATTGTAAGTGACTTGTTCAAAATCATATAGATAGTATGTGGCAGACCTAAGATATGAAGCTCTGTTGGACCAAAAGCTTGTTGAGAGTACAGATTATTTCATTCTTTGTACTTGTACCCTCCAGTGCCTTCTTGTTAACAGATGGGTTGGTTGGTCCAAATTCAGTATTCTTTCCACTGTACCATGAGAGGAACCATGCCTTCTGCACCCAATGGCCTGGATAGGAAGGATTCTGGTTCACAGATATGCCTTAAGGCCCTGCAGGACATTCATTGAGCAAAGGAAGATTTTAGAGACCTTACAAAGGTA